CCCCAAAACCCCAAAACCCCAAAACCCCAAAACCCCATTAATTACACCAAAATATGTCTAAAATGGAGACATTTCCGGTGTTAAATGACCCCTCATAGAATCATCATCTTCCATTTCTACATTCCCATAATACTCTCCTCTAACTTCCTCCTCTCCGTTCATACTATAATTATCCGCAAACATACCATCTTCATCATTACTCTCATCACAACTCTCACCACTCTCCTCATACTTCTCATACTTCTCCTTCTGCCCCCCTCCATACAGCCTTAAACTCCTCTCATCATACACCTCGATCTCATTCCCCTCCAAAAAGTCCTTTACCCCATTAAAATCAACCCCATGCCTCTTCTCATCCCACCACTTCATCCTCCACTTCGGCCTCTCAAAAACCTCAAATTCCTTACCTCGCTCAAACTTCCTATCAGCCATATACCAAATTCCAAACCCCTTCTTCGCCACTTTCAAAACTTCATAATTCTGTACGTGAAATTCCACATATTCACTTTGGGAAAATTCTGACGAATTTTCCCAAGTGCAATACAAGGGTTTTGTTGTATGAATTTGAGGGTTTTTGGACTCGACGAGGTACAGGTTTTGGAAGTTACTGGAGTGGTAGTAGGGGAGGTTGGACAGTTGGTCGGTCATTTGGGGAGGCAAGCTGGATTTTTGGATTTTAAGTGGGGAACTGAGGCGGAGGTTGGGGAAGTTTGTGTTGGTGAGGGAGAGGAGGGAGTCGAGGGATGTGGGCGGTGGGGATTTGGTGAAGGTGAGGGATTGGTAGGTGGTGAGGAAGGGGGCGTGAGGGGTGTTTTTTTGGGACGAGAGGTGGGAGATGAGGTGGTGGTGTAGAGTAGCATCTTCGAGGGTTTTAGAGGCTTCTTTGGCCCAGACTGGGGGGATTTTGAGCTTCCAACCGGAGTGACCACAGAGGACGATGAAGTAGTCGGATTTGGGAATTGCATGGCCGATATTTGAGCATATAAGTTCATCTTTGCTCCATTTATAGTCTTTGTAAATATCTTGTAGCCAAATTGCTCCATTTTGGACATCTCTTATGATTGATACCATTCTCTTGTATTTCATGTAATCCTTTTCTATTCGCCTTCCCTTTTCGTTACCTTTATTTCCTTCATCATACTCTCTTTTTAAGTTATATCCATAGGAATATATGTCCTGATAGTCCTCAGCATTATGGATCTCTTTCTCTGATAGGATTAGTGCTTCTTCAAAGTAGCTCTTCTCATATTTGACAGTGAGTTTAATTTTTATTCATATCTTAATTCAATTTCGGCTTACTAGCCTGGGGTTTTGGGGTTTTGGGGTTTTGGGGTTTTGGGGTTTTGGGGTTTTGGGG